AAACACCTTTAACTTCCTTTGTCTTCCTCTCTGAGCTCCGAAGTAAAAAGACATTTAAAAAAATCAGACATTAAAACACCTTTAACTTCCTTTGTCTTCCTCTCTGAGCTCCGAAGTAAAAAGACATTTAAAAAAATCAGACATTAAAACACCTTTAACTTCCTTTGTCTTCCTCTCTGAGCTCCGCAGTAAAGAGTCATAAGAAATCCTTTGACCTCCTTAAGAGCGAAAAGGCTTGAAGTTTTATTCCCCCCAAGAAAAAGATGATGAATGATTTGCCCCCATCCAGAAGTTCCTGAATAAATAAGACGTTGAATTGGAATCCCAAACTCCGTTTGCATTTTAACTGAGAAAAGCTGCCAGGATTTCCCCACCCCTTTTTGGAGCAAAGAGAAACATCCTGTTTCAGCGAGAAAGGCCAATTATCTCTCCTGAGATGAAGGACTTTGTTGCGATTAAGAAAGTGTGTTAAAAGGAAACCAGGATTCGCATGATAAAGCAACCCCCCTTTCTTTCCCAAAACTAACAAGAAGAGAAGTCCTTGGTGTAGTACCTGGCTGGAACTAAGCGCCTCCCCAGTTGGGATCCTTTTTCCCCACCTCAACGGAGCGACGGCTGGGCTGAAGTCCCTGGCAAATCTACCAGCTCTTTCCTCGGCGCAGCCCTTCACCCGCGACTCTCCAGCCCTATAAGGAGAGCTTGGCGGCCCGCCTCCTTTCCCTGCCGGGGCCCAATGGCGTCAGCCTCTCCGAACGAGCCTCTTCCCTTCCCTCTGACAGCCGCGCGGTGGGAGGGCTGCGCAAGCGAGTGATGCAACGCTGCCGGTTTGGCCTCCGGGAGAGGCGCCTCCCGACCCCACCCTCGGCCGGGGCCAATGGCAGCCGCGCGGGGGACTCGTGCGTTGGGCGGTTGTGGTGTCCTCCTTCTCTGAGGCCGTCTACGGCTTCCTTCTCTGGGCATTGAGGAGGCGTGCTTTGCAAAGTGGGGTTGGAAGAGAGCAGGCGGGCCGCTCCGCCTGCAATGAGGCACATCTGCCTGATGGTTTTTTGGCTTTCACAGCGAACCGAAAGGAAGCCACCTATTCTCCGAAATACATAATAAACCTCCTGTGGAAAGTACTGAGAAAAATGAGAATTCTAGAATACAGGTAGTCCTCACCTTATGACCGCAATTGAATCCAAAATTTCTGTTGTTAAGGGAAACGATTAACAGAATTGGAAGGTGCCTTGGAGGTCAGCTAGTCTAACCCCAACCCGACAGTTGGCAATCCAGTCTCTTCTTGAAAGCTTCTAGCCAGTGGAACACAGCAATGGTCCTAAATATGAAACGGTTGTCATGATCACAAGATCGTAAGGATGCTGCATAGGTAACTGAAAACAGTCATGAGTCATTTTCCAGAGCTGCGATAACTTTTAACAGTCACTAAACAAACTGTTGTAAATCAAGGTCTACCTTTAATGTCATTGTCCTCATGAGAAATTTAAATGCACAATCAGGAAACCATGGTTGGGATAGAACATGGGGAAACAAACAGGCTTCAGGTTGATTAAAGCCACATCATATGTCCAGCATTCTTACTTTAAAAAAAAAAAAACATTTGGAGCCTGCAGTTGGTCTGCTGATCTGATTAATGTGTTCATTTTGTTCTTTTAAAATACATTGACCTTTCTTGCAATAAAATTAATACGTTTTCAACAAAGTGGTTACTTATTGCTTCATACATTGTGGGTGTCATATCTGAATCATGTCTATATAAAGAAGGGACCTGCATCTAAAACTTGCCTAATTCTGACAAGCTGAATAGTGAGGAATCCCAAAAGATGTTTATAAATGAAATGAGGCATAATTATTTCAGCTTCACTTCCTGCTTCACTTCCTATTACTAAAAGCCACTCTTCTAGGAACACATTTGTTCCTAAAGAGAACTAAAATAGATTCTGCCTCTTGTAGATTGAGAATGTAAAGAATCAGAAGAGATGCAAAAGGGGGGACATCTACTTGGTTTTTCTGGAAACTTCCAGGGAAGTTGACCCAGATTCTTGAGCAAAATAACCCTATTTTCCCAAAAATAAGACGACCTTGGATAATAGGCCCAATCGGGCTTTTCAGCGCATGCACTAAAATAAGCCCCCTGAAAATAAGCCGTCCTCAAAAATATTGCAACACAACATCAGCCATGAGGTGACCAGACCACCAGGCTCCGGAGGCTGGAAAGGGGCCGGTTTCCGGACTTCGGGGGGGGGGGGGCNAAACACTGCTCTGAACAGTGGTTCTCAACTTTTTCTTCACCAACACAGAGCCCCTTTAAATGCCTTCTGTGGCCACAGACCATGGACATGGACTACCAATTCTTAACTCAAGATTTAAATCATAACATTCAAGCCTTCACAGACTCCATGACAGTGCAGCTCCCCTACCCCAGGGGTCCACAGATCACGGGTTGAGAATCACTGCTCCAAAACACAATGAATAAAAGCTTCTCTCCGCATCACAAGCATCTCTGTCTTGGCAAAAAATGGGTCGGAGAAAGGGGAATAGTCCCTATGTTAAAGAGAAAATCTGTACTTCTCACTACGTTAAAAAAAAAAAAGGCACAAACTTGCTTCTTTGCTTCATTGTCCATTCCCTTCAAACCTAACTGTTTTGAAAATTTCCAAAGACTTAATTGATGGAGAAATACAGCTTTCTTATTTCCTATAATCTATTTACAAGTCATGCAATTCGGAGATACAATTGCCTTCTGCCTATTTCAAAGGCTGGAATGCAAATAAGCTGGTTATAGTGTGTGACTCAGTTCTTCGGGAATGTACTTGCAACCACTGTTCAGAATTTCACATGCCTAGAACTTGGGATCTGTGCAGTGGCTTTGACAATATCTAATCTTAAATCAAAATAACAAAACTAGCCAAACAATAGTGTAGGATTTGTGTGAAGGCCTGGGGAGGTTGTTAGTTACCATCAAAGAGATATTTCTATTCATCCTGGTATGTGGTAATCAGTAAAAGAAGTTTAAGGAATTCCCTTTTGTTTTTAGCTCACTATGTAGATAATCACAACAGTATTTTAGTAATTAAGAACTTAGAACAACATTGTCACTTTGAATGTACACTAATCGACATATATTAAAATGAAATTTTATTGCATACAGCTCTTAAAGGGTCTCCACTTCTAATATACACTACATAAACATGGCAAAATAAATACTAAATTTATGCATAGGTAAAGGTAAAAGTTCCCCTCGTTCCCAACTCAAGGGGACAGTGTTCATCTCTGTTTCAAAGCCGAAGAGCCAGCACTGTCCGAAGATGTCTCTGTAGTCAAGTCATCTGGCTGGCATGACTAAACACCGAAGGCGCACAGAACGCTGTTACCTTTCCACCAAAGGTGGTTCCTATTTTTCTAGTTGCATTTTTACATGCTTTCAAACTGCTAGGTTGGCAGAAGCTGGGAGGCAGAGGCCAAAGGAATGGGGGCCGATGCGTGGGCAGGGCTACCCTTTGTGTATAAAACTTTAACCTCAAACTATTGACCTCACCCCATTCATAAGAGGTCTGTAAGGGTGTGCAATAAGCCCACCATTGTGCCTACCGTCCCTGTCCTACTGTTCCCATTTATTCGTACCCATCTCATTCATACTCATGTTTACTCTTATACCTATTAACTTGTAAACGATTGACAAATCAAATAAATAAAATAAGTCCTGAGCTGCTTAGCTTACAAGATGCAGAGGAAGGATGTAAAAGCTGTAAAGAAAGAAATAATGGTATTCTGGGGAGGGGAGGGTGTAATGTAAGGGTTAAGGCGTCAAGCCAGAAACCTAATGAGTCATAGTCCCACCTCAGGAGCAAAGTCAACAGGATGACCTTGGACCAGCCACACCCTCTCAGCCCTAGGAAGGAAGCAATGGCAAACCAGCCTGAAAAACCTTGTCAAGAAAACTGCCTCATGTAAGGTAGTTACCACAAATCAACCCTGACATAAAGGCGCACATATTTGAAAATCAGAGGGTATCTAACCCCCACCACCACAATTACTGAACATAATACAACTTAACTCTCCAATAACTATGCAGAACTTTGCCCCTCAATGAATAAAACCAAAACTTTTGTGTCATATAATGTGTCATATATATGGTATGTTTAATTTTGAATTTATTTATTTATTTTGTCACGTTTAGATAGGGTATATTGGACGTGGTGACCCTTTGAGAGCTGTATGCAACAAAATTACTTTTTAAATGTATGCCGATTAGTGTACATTTAAAGTGACAATAAAGTTATTTTAAGCCTAAATCGAACTTCTGGCTATTAAGCCACCTTTCCCAATCTGTAGAGATTCCAGGCCATGGTTGTCCCAAAGGTGCTTTTTCAGGAGGCAACTGGACTTTCTTGTTTTTTTTTTTCTTTTGAAGCCCTTACAGGAGAGTGGGATTCATATAGCTATGCAATTTGGGCAGTGGTGGGATTCAAAATTTTTTACTACCGGTACTGTGGGCATGGCTTGGTGGGCATGGCAGGGGAAGGATGCTGTAAAATCTCCATTCCCACCCCGCTCCAGGGGAAGGATACTGCAAAATACCCATTCCCTCCCAATCAGGTGGGACTCGGGAGGCAGGAATAGATAGGGATGGGGCCAGTCAGAGGTGGTATTTACCGGTTCTCCAAACTACTCAAATTTTCCACTATCTGTTCTACAGAACTGGTCAGAACCGACTGAATAGCACCTCTGAATTTGGGATGAACAACCTTCAAATGGTGTGGAAACATGAACGGATTTCCAGAGGAAAAAAATGCAGACTACATGAACCATTAGTACTACTTGGGGCACCTTGAGGGCAGATAAACATCCAAGTGCTTCCACACCCCTCAAAAAAGGATGTAAATAACCAGCTGCCTGCAAGGAATATAAATCCTTCCATTCCCCACCATCCAGGCAGAACTGAAGAAGCTCAAAAGTCCAGTTGCCTCCTGAAAAAATACCTTTGGGACACCTTTCCCAATGCATTAACTTTTAGGAGACCAATATTATCAGCAGCCGAGCCAAAACCAGATTGCACACGACACACACACACACAGCAATTAATTTAAACAGGGTGCAATTCAAGTCAACTCCGGACTTCGATGTCACACCATTAAGAGATGTTCTACTAGGTTCACAACGCTGGGTTAAAAAAAAAACACACAACGAACTGGAACCCCGCGAAAAACGCCACGCGGGGGGGGGAGGAACCTCCGGATCCCCACGACCAGAACCAGGCTCCTCCTCGCGAGTCAAGAGAAATATCAAGCACCCATGAGAGCGAGCCAGGCAACCAACATCAGCGCAAGAAGCCCCGGGAGCGCAGCCTTCCCAGTGCCGGACTGGGCACCGCCTTTCCAGGGTCTGGCTGCAAAGCCTCGGGCTAGCGGCAAAGCCTCGATTGCTCGGCCTTCCTCTTCGGGCCGAAGCGAGCTGGGCGTCTTCCGCGTTCTCCGTCCGCTACTGCCTGAAATAACCCGATCTGTCTCTCTCTCTCTCTCTCTCTCTCTCTCGCATCCCCAGCGCCTCGCTTGGCAACAGAGACGCAGCGCCGTCCTGCTCGTCTTTTCGAGGCTGCCACCCCCACGTCTTGCTAGGCGGCGCGTTCCAATACCTTGGAAAAAATCCACGCAGCGCTCCCGAAAGCCAAGGCGGCTTCGCCGCTCCCAATCCCTGGAATTCAGCCAAGCCACCGCCGCGGGCTTGAATGCAAGAATCGTGAAGAATTGACGAAGCGTGGACGCCCAGGGGCTAATTAACCCAGTAGTAGAAGGCCAACCTGCCTTCCATTGTGGATCTGTACGCTGCACAGCCCAAAAGAGGGCCGTGAAAATATTTACATCCTGGACATATTTTTTTCCAACTCTTACCCTCAAAACGACGCTATAGAGAGCCCTGCACAACCAGAACAACTAGACACAAAGCCAGTTCCCTCACCACTGTCAAACCATTCACTAAGACTGCATTATTATTACTATTAACCTTCTCATCGTTCCTATCACCCATCTCCTCCCACCTATGACTGCAGGACTGTAACTTGTTGCTTGTATCCTTTATATTGATTGTTTCCTGAATGCTTATTTGTACCCTATGACTATTATTAAGTGTTGCATCTTCTGATTCTTTATGACTGTATTGTTATGTACACTGAGAGCTTATGCACCAAAGACAAATTCCTTGTATGTCTAATCACACTTGGCCAATAAAGGATTCTATTCTATTCTATTCCGATTGATCACAATTCTGTAGCCGCCCATCTGACACCATGCGACTCCGGGCCATCGAATAAAAACAGAGAACAAAGCATCGATTATGTTACAGCTGAAATGCAGCGCCACGTACAATTTTGCACTCGCCAGATGTCTTGGGATTGCAACTTCAACACACACACACACACACACACACACANTTGTCTTGCCCCAGTTAGGATTTCTTAAGCAAATCCACTGGGCTTTCAACATGAAGCCAGAAAATCAGGACTTTTTAAAAACGCCCCGGGACACGAGACAAATTGTTATAAATTGTGACTGTCCCACTGAAATTGTGACGTCTCATCACCTTAATTTTTCACCCTCCCAGAGCCTCCTTGCAGGAGGTGTACTTACCTGGCATGATGAACGGGGCCGGGTGGAGACTCCAGGGAGGGGATGGGTGGACAGAGCCAGCCAGTAGGTTCAGTGAAACGGATGGAAATTTAACATCTGGTTTGCCAGTGTGAACCGGCTAAATCCCAACCCTGGTCCAAGTTACTAATACAAATAGTCCTTGATTTACGATCACAACTGAGGCCAAAATTTCTCATGCTAAATGAGACGTTTGTTAAATGAGTTTTTGTTCCATTTTACAATCTTTCTTGCCAAAGCTAAGACATTGAGGAAAATCGGATTTATTTAGTACAACAATACAGGTGGCCATTAAAATGAGGTTGGAGCCAATTTCTTACAGTTGTAACTCACTTTTTTCCATGGTAGTTGTAACTCTGAATATAGCAAACAAAAAACAAAAAAACCCACAACCCTTCCTTATTAGCACTGATAATGTCATCTAGTTTGGTAATGAAATAGCTGCAAAGGAACAACTGTGTTCAGAGAACACCAAGGACCCCTCATTTCAACTCTGAGCTATAAATATTCCCTACTATGGGTACACAAAAACTAATGTTACTAACAGGAGGTCAGGGGAAAGGCACTCTGTTACTCTGCTTTTCACTATTTGCCCCGAGGGTCAAAAAAAACCCTCAGAGGTGGAAAGGGATGAGGTCACGTCCAGCACTTCCCACTGGCACAAGTTCTTTATTTGGCACCTGTTCATTTGGAGAACGGCCTCCTTGGGGCTGGCAAAGCATAATTGGCTTCAAGCCTCAAAACACAGGCAGTCAACCTCAGAAATCAGCTACTGGGCTTCCATCAGCTTGTGTTCTTGAAGCCAAAAGTTTAAAGGTTGGGGATTGCACGTGCTGATGAAAACAAATCCAGGCAACACGGATTTTAAAGTGACCGCTTGATCCAGGAAAGAGGTCCTCTTAATTTTGGGCAGAGGACCTTACTCCTCCTGCATAAGAATGCTTTGAACTGAGATAGAATTGCACAGGAAATAAATTCCTTGTGAAATCCTGCCCACAGACGTTGGAAGCAAATCTTACTCAACAGAATTTGTTCTCTTGTGAAGGGGTAAGATTGCACGCTAAAGAAATGTGCAAATGCACATCTGGGTGCCAAAACTGATCTTTGTTGCAACATCTGCCAGGACTGGGTAAATATGCACTTTTGCAATTGTAGGTATACAGTATATTACTGGCCTAGTATCAACAAAGTACAGGTAGTCCTCAATGCACGACCACAATTGAGTCCCAACATTTCTGTTGCTAAGCAAGACAGCTGTTAAGTGAGTTTTGCCCCATTTTACGGCCTTTCTTGCCACAGTTGTCAGGTGAACCACTGCAGTTGATAAGTTAGTAACCTGGTTGTTAAGTGAATCTGGCTTCCTCATTGACTGCTTGTCGGAAGGTCGCGGAAGGAGATCACATGACCCTGGGCCACTGCAACCGTCATAAATGTGAATTAGTTGCCAAACGTCTGAATTTTGATCATGAGACCATGAGGATGTGGCAATGGTCGTAAGGGTGAAAAACGATCATGTCACTTTTTTCAGTGCTGTTGTAACTTTGAACGGCCATTAAGCTAACTGCTGTAAGTAAACAAAGTAAACAAATGGATCCACAGCAGAAACAAAAGGTTTGCCAAGGCCATGGGTGCAAAAATAAGTTGGGAAACATTGGAATAGACCAGAGATGGCTAACCTTTTTCTCCTCGCGTGCCAAAAGCGCTCGCTCGCACGCACGCACGCTCGCAACTTTGCATGCGTGCGTGCCCACACCCATAATGCAATGCACGCACATCATCTCCTGCGTGCCCCTGTCCACATGTGCATGCATGCCTGACCTCCCCTGCACCACATTTTGAGCCTAGCAGGTCTCCCTGAAGCCTCCTGGGACCCAAAGCGGGGCATGGGGGGGCGTACCACGCCTCCCTCCGCTCCGCCCTGCCCCCCATGCATGCACGCACGTCTCCCGCATGTGCAGGAGAGACCCCCAAATCAGCTGGTTAGCGGGAGGCATGTGCCCATGCCAGTGGCGCTCAGCTGGGCGACAGCTCGCGTGCCCGCAGAGAGGGCTCCGCATGCCACCTGTGGCACGCGTGCCATAGGTTCGCCAGTGGTGGGACTCAAAGCTGGTCATTAGAGTGCTCTGCCCTAATGATCAGCTGGATAGGCAGGGCTTGGAGGTCATGTGACTGGGTGGGCAGGGCCAACTCAATATCACTCATATTGATGGACGCTTCACCTTAGCTGTTCCAAGGAAATAAGGGTTAACCGGAGAGGCAGTTTCTGTAAGCAGGGCAATAAAGATTAGGCTAGAAACAGCACCAGAATGTTTCCTTCTGACTTCCTTACAGGGTTAGCCCTATAAAGTGGGGAAAAAACAAAAGGAGATTTCTTCCAACAACCGGTTCTCTGAACTGCTTAGAAAGTTAATAACCGGTTCTCCCAAATAGGTGCAAACCGGCTGAATCCCACCACTGAGGTTCGCCATCACGGGAATAGACCATCTGGCCCAAAAAGTTTGAAAAGCTTCACCTGAATTTTGCCATGGAAAACAGCCGAGGAAGACCCTACACGGGGAGTCAGAGATACACCTAAGAATTAATTTGTGTATAATAATCCTGACATGTGTTTTCATTAAGCCACTCTCAACAACCACTAACCTCACCACAACCTCCCAGAGGTATTTCTATACTTTCCAATTATGTCTTCATTATTATCTTTGCAAGGTTCAGTTCTCCCCAGGGGTAGCAGACACTCCTTCCACACTCCTTTCAGTTGTACCAATGAGAGAACACCAAGATAGCCCTCCCTCCTTACCACTTTTTTGGTATAGCCACAGTGTTTACCTTTGGAGTGGGGGAGGGAGAAAGGTCAGTCTGAGAGATTGCTGCAAATCTCATCTGCTTCTTTTAAAAAGCGTAATGAATTGGAAGGTGAGGCATCATAGTGATATGATGGTGAACCCATGGCATGTGTGCCATAGGTAGCACGCGGAGCTTTCTCTGCAGACATGCGAGCCATTGCCCAGCTCAGCTCCACTGCGCATGTGTGCGTGCTCCCTGCTGGCCTTCTGATTTTCGAGTCCCTGCCGCGCATGTGGGAGATGTGGGGGTTGCACCTGCGTGCGCAGGCAACAGGGTTCAGCACCACCCTCTGTGTTCCGTTTTTGGTCCCAGGAGTCTCCATGCAGCCCATTTCGGATGCCAGGTAAGTGCAGGTCCTGTGCAGAGGCTGTGGTAGGGCGAAAAATGGGCCTCCCTGAGGTTTCCTCAATTTCTGGCCTCCAGAGCCCAGAGGAGGCCGTTTTTGCCCTCCTTGACGCTCAAGGGAAGCCTCTGGAGCCTAGGGAGGGAGAAAACGTCTCATCCCCCCACCATGGTGCAGGAGGCCATGTAGGCCACACTCACCACAACCACGCCAACTCAGCAGTTGGCAAAGAACCAGTTGCTAAAATTTTTGTGCAGGGGGAGGCGCATGCGCATGTGCAGGGGGGGACTAGGCACATTGCATTATGGATATGGGCACACGCAAGCAAGCGCTGTCACACGCATGCACGCGATTTCGGGACGCGAGGACAAAAAGGTGAGCCATCACTGCCTTTGACTTCAAAAAGAGGGAGACATCAGGTTGAATGAATTAAAACAGTGGTTCCTAACACACTTTGAAAAATGCCAAAGGATCATAATCTCCTGGAAAGGAAGATATATGGACAGGTTTCCAGGAATAGAAATAAAAATAGGAGTAGAGTAGAGTAGAGTAGAGTAGAGTAGAGTAGAGTAGA